GAATATATATATATATATATATATATTAATTTTTGAAATAACCATATTTTAACATTCCTTATAAAAATGTTTAATAAGTCAACAACAATGTTAAGACGTATTGAGTTACCCACGCTGCATACAAATGTATATCTATTATATTGCTTGTAACTCAATAAGTTTCGTCTCATAATTAGCCCAGTAAAAGAAACGCTCTGAAAACCCATTTTTATGGTACGGAACACCTTTAGAAGGATCTAGTTGATCAGTTGTTACAAAGATCATTGATTATATTATTTCGTGGGACAGCTGATCACCAGCATCTTGCTTTACTCACCCCNTGGGACAGCTGATCACCAGCATCTTGCTTTACTCACCCCCTTGCCCAACCATCACGTCAAATCGATGACCTCCGCGTCGATTGTCATCCGTGTACAGTTCATTGTCATAAGTGACTGACTGTCGATTTGTTTTTACGTGTCGTTTTTTTTCTGTTGCAAGCGCCTTCGCCTGAATAGTAAATTGTTCGGCCGTTGTACGCCATAGTTTTCTTATTTTTTGTTTATTATTATTTGGCCCTGACCATCACTAAACATTATCATTGCCGTATTCTCTGTGCTCATCTGCCATTACCTGCCTGGATCTACACTCTGACTCTTCATACTCAGATGTTCGACACCATTACCACAAGATCTCATACAGTCCACTCATCATCGTCAGCAACGTTATCTTTTCATCTGAGTTTTATATTATTTTTTATGTTAATTATTGTTTGTTCTAATTGAGATTAATTATTTTGTTTTACGCCGCTTCGCCGGCCACTAGTATTTAAGGGCCCCCGTTACCCCTTAAATTTAAGATACTCTCTGAGCAATTTCTAATATATGTGATTATTTGTTATTTAATTATTGTCGACTCTCGTTTACTTGTTGGATGTATAGACCCACTCTCATCATTATTAACGTTTTATTAAACAGGCTTAAGGTAAATCGGCGTTCTAGTGCGGTGCACAACTAGCCGTCCTACGGTCTAGCTGCCTCGTACGCAACACCATTTAAAAGTTAAAAAAAAAAAGTGCATTTTTATTTTTTAGTCTATGAATACAAATATTGTAAAAAAAAAAAAAATGTACAGCGAAATAAAAATTATATTATAAGAATTGTCAGTTAGATCTATTCCCAGCTGAATTAATTGTGAATGTTATAAATATATGTATGAGTAATTAAAATAAAAAAATATTGCCCGTTAGAAATTAATTTTTTTATTTGCATAACATAAAGTTGTATTAAAATAGAATTTTTTTTAAATATTTGACATTTAAAATAAGTTTTCATAAATCATACGTTATAATATTTTTATGTGTAATAAATTTTTATATTTTTAACTATTTCAAGAATTATTTAGAACCATAATGAATTTTTTTGTACTGGGAATTTTGTCTTAAATTTATTTTACGTCATTATTTGATTAAGAAATAACAGTGAATATCACAAATCAGGGAAATATTGAATATGACTATTATTAAAGAAGAATTAAATGTTGCTTTTCTTAAAGTTCAATTAAAATTAAAACAAATTTGTCTTATATTTTTGTATTTTTAGAATTACCTTGTCAGCAATATTTAAGTTTATGCTGAATATTTATGGTCTTGTTATTTGTAATAAACAAGTACAATAAGCTAGAAATAAAAAAATATAATGTAACTGTTTTTAAATGTTTTCCTAAAAGTAATGACTCGATTTAAATAATGTTTTAAAAGAATTTGACGAATAGTTTAAAAGATTTTAGTTACTAAAACATTTCAAATTAAGATGATGCATTTTGCTATTTTAGTGATTACTATTACAATAAGTACTATAAGCTTTGTAAAAACAACTTACAGTACTCCTCTTAAAGAAGATTTGGAAAAATTGAAACTTTATTCACAATGGGAATACATAAAATATAGTCCTGTGGAGACTGGTAATAATTGTATTACATTCAGCCAATATGTTCGAGAAGCAATCGAAGGTGAATCAAAAACTTTAATAAGCAGTGCCTATTGGAAATGTATGGAATTAATGTGCGATAGAATAAACAGATATGTGTTTTTACTGACTCTTTATAGCCACAAAGCAATTAAACTTGGGCAAACACCTTCTTGGGTATTAGAAAAAACTGGAGTACCTTTAAAAATGCTACTGAAAGTATTAAAACGGTTAAAATTAGACAAAGACAATAGTAAATTAAATACAGTTGAAATATTAGAAAATTTAATTAAACCCGAAGATAAAAATAAGTTGTATTATGATATGAATACGATGATTCAAAAATTTGTTTTTCACTTTCTAGATACTTACAATATATTTAAGCCTAATGTGTTAAACTATTTATTTTCAAATTCAAAAAATTTACATACCATAAATATACCTGAGCCTTTTTTAAAACAGGTATTCCCTCAATTTCCTCAACCTAACAGTGAATTTTATTCCATACCTCAAGATTATATTGAAGTTATTAATAAACTAGAAGAGATCGTTGAACTTGTGAAAATGGAATACGAAATTGAAGAAGTCTCAGAAACAGAATAAAAATGGACAGATTCCATCTCATCAGGGATGAATCATTTTGTTGTTTTTATTTTATTTTATTTCTTAAACTTAATTGAAACAATAGTTAAATTTTGTTTTTATATCGAAAGGATATGTTTATTCAAAACTGTTGTTGTTATTGCTTTTAAATAAAATTGATTTGCAAAAAATTATTTTGCGTTCGTAGTGTTAATAGTAAATTTTAGACTGGTCGATAACAACTTTTGGGCGAATGCTTCGGATGTTATTATCATTTTTATACCTGTGCAAAAGGAAGACTACAACCGGCAAACGATCGATGATATCCAGTCATCACTACCAGATATAACTTTAAATCGATAATGACCTCTGAACTACTGGTCTAAAAGTTGTTATAAATTTCCTAGTCGCGTCATTGTCTATTAAATAAGCTAGTTAATTAAGTACATTGTCATTTGAAGAAATAAAATTGATACTCCTATAATTTGTGAGAGATTATTCCAATAAGTTATTTATAGCTGATAATTCAAGGACCAACTAATAATAAAAAAAAAAAACTAGTTTTTTTACTAGTATTGTATTTATTTTGTGAGTGATCAAGCTACTAAACTTGGCTTTAATTTATCATTATGTTCTAAGGTTATAAATAAATATTGATACAAGTTGGATTTGTCTAAATAACGATTGTTTAAAATAAATTTTTTCGTCTAACACTATTTGATTTATTATATTGAATTATAGTCGTATGAATATTAAAACAATTTATTTCTAATCGCACACAAATAGGTATTATAACTTAGTACATACAAACGAGATTGGGCATATTGTTTCGAGGTATTGAGAAAAACATTTTTTTAGCGTTTGGAAATGGCGCATCGTTAAAATCAAAAATTATTTGCGTCGCACTAGTTGTTGTTTTAAACTCACCCTTCCCTCCCTCCCCCCTTAAAGTTGACCCGACCCTGCAAAGTAATACTCCGTGGTCAGCTGTAAAATAAGATTATCCGTTTGATTGCACTCCGGCGAGTTGCGGGCAAGTGTACGGAGCGCGTTAGTATTCAATTGCGACAATTAACGGCCGTCTCGTCGCGTCGGCTATTTTTCTCGGGAACAGCTCGACATGTAAATATTACTTGAAAACCGATTTCAGTGTGCAGGACTCGCTATGCAGTAGAACGGGAATGCGCACACACGACGGGACAATAATTTTGTCTTCTATTCAAACATTGAGCGGTCGGTTCTATTCCGCTCTAACAAATTTACATTCAATGTGATGTTGCAACACAACGCTCCCGTTTGATGTGTACGCGTACGCGCGCATTATAAACAACTGCAGGTTTGCTGTGCATGGACGACTTTTTATTTCTATTGGCGTTTTACCGGACAAACACGTGTTATGGAGACGGCGACGGTTCAATGGCGAATTCATCCGGTACGATTGTCTCTTGCCAGAGCGCACGGTTTGACTCGTGTAACGTTCTCCTAAAGCAATTGTCGCCGCGGGCTGTCCGACGGCCGGAATTCGTCTGTGCCGTCGCCCTCGACATATTAATACGCGTGATATTTCGCGGGACGTGCTCTTTGATCTGCGATGCGACAGCCGCTGGACGTCGCTTAGCATTCAAGTGCACACTCGATGAACAGCGAAAACGACAACGCGGTGTTGGCTTTCTCGGGGCAATCGTTGTGATTTCGCTGGCGTTCGGTTCTTGTTGTGCGTCATCGCACAACCGTCGGGTTCAAAGGAATACACGTGGCAGATCGTTTTGTACGAGGAATGCGAGTTGCATAAAAAAACTCCAAAGTAGTACAAAAAAATAATAATAATAATAACGGGGCAAAAAAGCGGAGTGCGTNTAAAAAAACTCCAAAGTAGTACAAAATAATAATAATAACGGGGCAAAAAAGCGGAGTGCGCACAGCCAAAGAGACCCGCCTTCTGTTGTTAGACATTTTCCATGCGGAAAGTTACACGTGAATGGTTTCGACTTGTAAAATGTGACTGGCCGTTCGCGATAGGCCGAGGAAAGTGCGTCCGACGTTTTTTTGCGCTTGTCTTCCGCTTTTAACTATGCGATATTTTTTATTGCGGGAATGTTTTCCGGAATCCGACCGCGATTACATTAAAAACATGTATACACTCGAAAGATAATAATAATATCTCAAAAATACAATACGCGTACCCGCCCGTGCGATTCTAATTACCCTAAATCCGTGTAAGATTTGACGTCGTGACCGCCTTTTGTAAAAACAATATCAATGAAATCTTGTTTAGCTCATACATTTGTTTATTCGTCGTTATCTAGTAATGTCATTCTGGGGAGGGGGGGGCAGTTGTCGGTTTTAGGAAAATTCGGTTTTCAATGACTGTAGTATATGCGTGCGATTATCGAATGACCAGCGCTGGTGAAGTGGCAACAGCAGTAGCCGAACCAAAACAAGCGCACGTCTCTAGGTGGCCCCAGACAAACGCCACACGCGAACCGCAAAAAACGGACAATCCGTGAGATTCGGTCTTGGACGCTGTCGTCCGTGTTAGGCAGCCGTACGATAATATACGGACAGGAGGAGACGGTTCGTGAACACAGCGGGCAGTAAACATTTTTTCGTTGTCTGTCCATGTAATGTTCCAACTGTCGTTCGCTCTCGGGTTCCTTTTGCCGTATAAATTATGCGGTCGGCGACATTATAAAACAACGGGTAACGCTGGGCGATCGGTGCGTATCATGAAAAATATATATAAAAAAAAACACACACACACAAATAATAGTTATAATAACAACGATTATGCGACGTTTGTAAAATAAATATAGATATATATTGTAACATGTTTGTGTGTAAAACACATTCACGTGCACACGAAAAACATAATTCCGAGTAACATGTCATTGCAGTGTGTGGTGCGAGAGACTTTGGCAACGGCGTCTCGGCCGTCGCAACGACTTGTGCACCGCCTGTTCGAGGCCGCCGCCGCCGCCGCCGCGTAGTGAAGGTGTTGTTTTTCTGGGACAGCATGCGGTCCACCCCGACCCGCGTCCACCGGCCAATACGCGCGGGATTATTGTTTTTTTCCGTTTAGATAAACTTGGCGATTATTCGCGCGGCCCTCTCCGCCCCGGCCGTCGGTACACGTCGCGAGTGTAATGAAGTCGCTCCACTGTCGCGGTGGCACGCAACGCGTCACTCACACACCGCCGGCACATTGTGCACGACGGCCGACGTTGGGAATTATTGCCATCAGATAAATGTGGACACCGCGCGTTCCTATCTGTGATGATCGTATAGGAGAATAATAATTATCGCCCAACGGATGTACACACACGACCGATCGGTCCTACGCGCCGAGAGAGAGTATGATGTCAGCCGCACTTTAGTGCCAACAACATTATTGTTCGCTTATCTGTTACCACCTCGTACAATTGTCTCGGCTATTTCGCAACCCGAGTTTCGCCTACTCGGTACTATTGTCCGCTCATAATGGTTTTCGCGTGTAAAGCTTTTGTAAAAAACTACGTGTGAGTCATTGTTAGCCACGACCGCCGCCGCAGAGTTGACACGAAAAACAGGTTCACTTTTGGTTAAATCCGTCTTAATTAACTGAGCTCGCCGACGACGAGCCAAAGCATATTTGTACTGTTGTTTTAGAATGCTTACAAAGCGTGAAATCTTTTTTTTTTTTTAAGAAGATTTACCGGACAAGACACGAGTCGAGTGGTAACTGCACAAAAATCAAACGGTATTAATGTCTAAAGTCGATACGAATGTCTTAATTAAAACGCAGTGTTTAAACGTCAGCTTGTTAGTATTAACGCGTCGAGTGTGTAATTTCTTCAAACAGACTTTATCCACATGTACTTATCACGCGTAATACATTTTAATAACTGTCCCGATTGTCGTTTGAAATATTTCTGAAAAACTTGTATTTGAATTACTCAAAGTATTAACGTGATCGTTCACCTCCTTGCCGCGCGTGTCACTAAGTTTAACCACTTATACTTTACGATCGGTTCGCGTTATTGTTTTTAATACAAGTACACATTTTTCTCCACCGACAGACTGTCGTGTAACGTGTTGGCTCGACGCAAAACGATTACCATAATATATAACACTTACCGCAGCAACGTCGCCGTCCTAATTGAAGTCCATTACTTATTCGCCATTATTACCACCAGTTCATTTGAAGTGTCCGAATTACAACCGTTTTCAATCCGCTCTGTCTATACGGCCAGAGTTTTTTATGTCCATCTGTACAATGTCGTTGCGCTTGTAGCGTAAAAAAAATAAAACACTACCAATAAAAAAATATATATTTATACACCATTTTTATTGAAACGCGCGAGAAGCGCTGGGCGGACAGTCGCAATGTATTAATTGCAAGACGCGTATAAAACGGCGACGGACTGTTCTCTTCGTTTGCCGCCTCCTCTGCCGCCATCACCGCGTTAGAGCACCGGTAATTTTCGCCGGGACAACCGCTATAGTACCGTCCTGTAAACGCGCTGTTGTCCGGCCAAACTTTTAAACGTGTAATTTGACACGCACACGCCGCTCGCTCTGCCGTAACCTGCATAGTTAAATAATGTTGTCCCGCGTCACTATCGCGCGACAATCAACGACTCGACGCGCGGGACGCCTCCGCAGAATCATGCGAATTGAAAAAGGTGCGTTGTCGACGTACGACTTGCCAACGAATTTTAAATATGCGAGACACACTGTCGGTGGTTTTTAGGGATAACGACCGCAAAGCAAAATGTAATTAACCATGTGCAAATAAACAAAATTTGATTGGGTCAAAAACACGACAATTGTCTGTGACGCTATTAAAATTCATAAACTCCTACAGTACGTTATTTCTCGAACCGGAAGAGAGACTTAATAAAATATTAAGTGTCTTTATGGATACGTATAAATAATCGTTTGTCCGTC